TATATTTCAAGTAATGTATTTTCTTGTTTCCTATTAGTATAGATATATAATTTCAAAATCTCACTTATTGTGTATTAATAATTGAAAATTATCTGGTTATTTTAAAAATTTAATTACAAATCTATAACTTTTAACCTAAATCTCTTTGTATGTAGTTAAATGAAGGATAATATTTATTTAAAAAGTGAATAATTAAATAAACAATAAATAAAAATGTTTTAATTTTTTGGAAGAGCACAACATTTAATCTCCTTCAAGTTAAATAATTTTGTTTTAATAAAATTATAAAATTATCAAGGATACCAAAGTTATTTATTATCTCTCTTCATTAAAAACTTGTTAATAATACTATTCAATAACCTAAATTTGATGATTTGTAGAATTTAAAATTAAAAAAGATCTAATTTTCAAATAAAATATGGTTATGAAAAATCACCCTATAATAGTCATTCACTTAAATATTGTGAATGAAAAGCAATTTTGAATTTAGATTTAGATTCAGGAATCATAAAATAAAAGTAAGAAATTATTTATTATAATGCATAATTATATAATAAATATTGGATTATAATGATGAATTTCAAAGCTTAATATTTATCTAATTAGTTTTAAAAGTAATAAATAAATTTGTAAAATTATTAGAAAACATGGAGAGATTGAATGTTTTGTAAGATTATATAATAACTAAAAATATTAAATAATATTATGTAAACTTTTGGAAACGATACATATTTAAATTGAATGAAATAACATAAAAATAATTTTAATACTTAAAAATAATGTAACCATCTAGCCAAAGCTTAGAAGGATATTAAGAAACCCGAATGAAATTTTCAAGTTCATGGACTTTTATGCTTACATCATTAGGATTTGCGGCAGGGTTTGGAAGTGTTTGGAGATTCCCATATCGTAAGAATAGGATTATACTAATTATTTAAGTTGTATTTAAGAATGGAGGAGGTACATTTTTAATTCCATACTTTCTTTTGGTTTTTACTTTGGCTATCCCATTATTTTTTATAGAAGTAGGATTAGGACAATGTAAAGGAATTGGAATGGCTCACTTGTTGAATTTAGAGAAACCTAAGTTTAGAGGATTCGGATATGTTGGAATAGTAATTTGTGCATATATATCATCGTATTATGTAAATATGGAATAAATAAATAAATAGAATCTAATTATGGCATATTCTTTAAGATATTTGTGGGAATCATTTAAATACCCAATACCATGGATGGCGAGCATAATGGTAGAAAACAAGCCATTTTCAAGAGATTATTTTTATGATTCTATAGTTTAGATTTCAAGCTCAATAACAGATTTAAGTAATTGAAATATAAATATATTAGATAATATAATATGGAGTTTATTTATAGCATATATAGTATCATTAATAATTGTATATTTTTGTATAAAGTAAGTATTGATGATTATATTAATAGAGAAGGAGTGGAGACTTCGGGAAAAATAGCGATGGTAACAGCTACATCACCTTATGTTTTATTAATGATTCTATTAATAAGGGGTTTAATGTTAGAAGGTTCAAGTGAAGGAATTTATTATTTATTTAAACCAGACTATATTAAATTATTTAATCCTTAAGTTTGGGTAGATGCTGCTAATTAAGTCATATTTTAAATGTCAGTTGGATAAGCAATTCTTACATTATATGGAAGTTACAGAAAGAAGGATGATAATTTACCTATTTTTTCTTTTGCTATACCATTATTAACTGCATTATGTGGAATGTTAGCTGGTTTAGTCGTATTCAGTTATATTGGACATGTTAGTTTTAAATATAATGTGTAAATTTAAGAATTACCAGTATTTATGATAAAGATAATTAGTTATCTGGTCCAGATTTGGCATTTGTTTTATATCCAGCTATTTTAGCTTAGATGCCAATGCCAAATTTATGGTGTATTTTGTTCTTTTTAGTATTATTATTGTTGGGAATTGATACTTAATTTGGATTTGTAGATGGGATTGCAGGAACAATTGAAGACATTTTTTTAGGGGAAGTAATGTTATTTGGCCAAAAATTAACAGTTTAATAAGTTAGATTAAGTGTATGCAGTTTTTTAGGAGTGATAGGGATAATCTATTGTACTGATATTGGATTTTATGTCTTGAGTTTTGTTGATACTTTTGGAACCAATGTTTCATATATGTTAGGAATATTGTTTGAAGTGTTTTATTTTGGATCAAAAGAGAGATTTGAATTATTTAAGAGAGATTTAGAGAAACATGGCAATAAAGTACCAAGGTTGGTTGAATTTTCATTAACAAAACTCTGTCATTATACTGTCATTTTGTTGCTAATAATTTCAGTTATCTCTTAAATAAAAAATTCTCTTGATTATTAATTTTATATTGCTATGATTGGATGGTTTATTTCTTTATCTCCATTTATTGCTGCGATTAAAATCTATTTTGAGTAAAATTATTAATTTAAATCATAGAAATTGGAATAAGATAGATATAAACAATAATGATCTGGATATAGAGTTGTTGACAAAGTAGTAGTGATTTAAAATATATATTGTGTAACCATTTCATATTTATAGTAATATAAAATATTATATAAATAAGTAGTTAAATGGGAGGAAATTGTTCAAATTGTAATTAATGTTAAAAAGATAAAATGGAATTAAATAATGAGGTAGAGGTAACGAAAAAGTCAGATAGTTAAAAAGTATCATCTTTATCACAATAATCATCGAACAGTTTAATCGATGGTGTAATAAAATTGAAATTTATAGAAAGAATGATGTAAAGTAGACAAAGTGCACTCCAAAAGAATAAAAGAATAAAAAGTTTTCTGTATTTTCTGATGATCAAGAGAAAGAAAAAAAGAAAGAGAGTAATTTAAATGAAAAGGCTATAGTAATACAAAAGAATTGGAAAGGGCATAAAGTAAGAGAAAGTTATAAGGAAGTAAAGAAATCGTTATCAGAATCTTAGAAGGGAAATGAGAAGCAAGAATAATAATAATAATAAAATGATCAAGTTACAGTAGCAAGTAAAGATAAAAAGAAATACTTTAACTCATTGGAATTTGGAAGTAATATATGAATTAATAATATTGTTAGTGAATAATGTGAGTAATTATTAATCAAGAGAGAAGAGACCTTTATTTGTTTTTAAGAGTGGTGCAACATATGAAGGAGAATGGGTAGGAAATAAGAGAGATGGAAAAGGTGTGTAGATTTGGCCTGATGGAGCAAGATATGATGGAGAATGGGTTGATAATAAAGCATGTGGAAAGGGTAGTTTTTATCATGTAGATGGTGATTCATATATTGGAGAATGGGCAGATGATAGAGCAAATGGTTATGGTGTTTATAAGTAAAGTAATGGTGCTGTGTATGAAGGATATTGGAGAAATGATTAATAACATGGAAAAGGAGAAGAAAAATGTAATATATATTATGAATAAGATAGGGTCTGATTTATCTTGTTATAAAGGTGATTATTTTGAAGGTAAAAAATAAGGAAAAGGAAAGTATATTTGGCCTGATGGTAGTTATTATGAAGGAGATTGGTATGATAATAAAATTAATGGATATGTAAATCATAATTATATTCAAATTATAGGGAGAATATTATTGGTCAGATGGCAGAATTTATAAAGGATCATGGATGAATAACAAAATGCATGGAGAAGGATTATATCAATGGGCTGATGGAAGAATATATCATGGTTCTTATGTGGATGATAAAAAATAAGGTATTGGAAAATATAAATGGCCAGATGGTAAATAATATGTAGGAGAATGGCATGATGGTAAATAACATGGAAAAGGAAAATATATTTTATCTGATGGAAAAACTAAATTTGGAATATGGGATTAAGGAAGAAGATTAAAATGGACTGAAGAATGAACTAATTAATAACAATTATCATCATTTCTTTTTATAATGAGATTCATCTAATATATTGTTACAAACTCCATGAATTGTTTTGCTTAAATATAATATATTTATTATTACCNGTTAAATGGGAGGAAATTGTTCAAATTGTAATTAATGTTAAAAAGATAAAATGGAATTAAATAATGAGGTAGAGGTAACGAAAAAGTCAGATAGTTAAAAAGTATCATCTTTATCACAATAATCATCGAACAGTTTAATCGATGGTGTAATAAAATTGAAATTTATAGAAAGAATGATGTAAAGTAGACAAAGTGCACTCCAAAAGAATAAAAGAATAAAAAGTTTTCTGTATTTTCTGATGATCAAGAGAAAGAAAAAAAGAAAGAGAGTAATTTAAATGAAAAGGCTATAGTAATACAAAAGAATTGGAAAGGGCATAAAGTAAGAGAAAGTTATAAGGAAGTAAAGAAATCGTTATCAGAATCTTAGAAGGGAAATGAGAAGCAAGAATAATAATAATAATAAAATGATCAAGTTACAGTAGCAAGTAAAGATAAAAAGAAATACTTTAACTCATTGGAATTTGGAAGTAATATATGAATTAATAATATTGTTAGTGAATAATGTGAGTAATTATTAATCAAGAGAGAAGAGACCTTTATTTGTTTTTAAGAGTGGTGCAACATATGAAGGAGAATGGGTAGGAAATAAGAGAGATGGAAAAGGTGTGTAGATTTGGCCTGATGGAGCAAGATATGATGGAGAATGGGTTGATAATAAAGCATGTGGAAAGGGTAGTTTTTATCATGTAGATGGTGATTCATATATTGGAGAATGGGCAGATGATAGAGCAAATGGTTATGGTGTTTATAAGTAAAGTAATGGTGCTGTGTATGAAGGATATTGGAGAAATGATTAATAACATGGAAAAGGAGAAGAAAAATGTAATATATATTATGAATAAGATAGGGTCTGATTTATCTTGTTATAAAGGTGATTATTTTGAAGGTAAAAAATAAGGAAAAGGAAAGTATATTTGGCCTGATGGTAGTTATTATGAAGGAGATTGGTATGATAATAAAATTAATGGATATGTAAATCATAATTATATTCAAATTATAGGGAGAATATTATTGGTCAGATGGCAGAATTTATAAAGGATCATGGATGAATAACAAAATGCATGGAGAAGGATTATATCAATGGGCTGATGGAAGAATATATCATGGTTCTTATGTGGATGATAAAAAATAAGGTATTGGAAAATATAAATGGCCAGATGGTAAATAATATGTAGGAGAATGGCATGATGGTAAATAACATGGAAAAGGAAAATATATTTTATCTGATGGAAAAACTAAATTTGGAATATGGGATTAAGGAAGAAGATTAAAATGGACTGAAGAATGAACTAATTAATAACAATTATCATCATTTCTTTTTATAATGAGATTCATCTAATATATTGTTACAAACTCCATGAATTGTTTTGCTTAAATATAATATATTTATTATTACCTTTTTGTTTACTGATTTAATTACGTGCCAAGTTTTGCATTATCATTTTAATTTTTATTTATTATCAATTTTTGGATATTGTACATTTTTATGTATGAGTAACTGTTTTAAGATTTTAATAATGATTAACTTTTATCTATCACTCTCTCTTGTGATTATTGTGATTTATTTCTTTCATCTTTTCTATTTGAAGGAGGATTATGGATAGTATTATTTTAATGAGAAACATTATTCTTTAAAGGAAGACCTTTTCCAGGTATGTAACTTATATGTTAAGTGTTTGCACTTCGACGTTCACGATTTATAGGTTCTTAAGAACTATTTTTATTTGGCAATTATTAATCTTAATAAGTGATTAAGTTTGATTAATGTTGACGATGATAAATCTGATTACCCATTATATAAGATTTTTTTATTATATTTGGACTTCCTTCACGTTGTTGAGATTAATTTTACGGCTTTTTTTCCATCTCTTTAGAAGATAAGAAATTTAATTATAGAGTAGATGCCTTACGATCTTACTACAATAATATTTAAATTATCATACTTCTATTTGTTGCTTTTCTAATTCGAGCTATTCAATCTTCTCCTAAAGGTTATCAGCGTAAAGTTTCATCTACTACTCTAACTACAATTATGCCAACTTTGATACCCTAACATGAGAACGAATCTCTGCTTCTGCTTTTTAAACAGCCTTCTCTAATTCATCATATTCGAGGCTTTTGTTTTGAGATACTAATTCGAGCAGTATAAAGATGTGAAGTTTGAGTGCATTAAGAATCTCTTAAGTACTCTACTCCTTTGTTATGGCTGGTTCCTACCGAAGGGCACTGCAAATCTACATAACCTTCTAATATATACGTCTGTCAACATTTACAACAACTATTCATTGATATTCATTTGTGATAAATTAATATTAAATATGATATTTTCACCATAAAATCAATAGATTTCTTTTTATATTGATTATCATTATTGTCTCATTCATTTCTTTAGATATCTTTTATAATCTAAAAATACTCAATATTCTACATACACCATTCAGAAATGCTATTATATTAAACCAAAGATGTAATATTTATCTATTGAATGTTTATTGTTCTCATCAATACAACAATCACTAATTAAAATTAATTTTACTAAACTATTTGTAAATTCTTACTATTTAAATACAATTCTTAAAACTTAGATAATTACTATAATATTTACAATCTTATAATTAAATTAATTTTTTAACCTTAGATAAAAAAAGACCAATAAAGAGCTTTTTCAAAGAGCAAATAAATTTTCACATCACTTTCCTCCATCTTTATGCTACTACCCATCTTAAAGCTAATTATTCCATTAGTCTCCATATTATTATCGCAGCTTTCATTCTTCAATTCTATCAATAATAAAATTAAAAATCAAATTTTTTATCCAATTTAATGTTCTTTTTTATTTAAAAAGTATTTTTACAAATTAAGTATTAATCACTGATCATATATTTTTTGATGTTTATATAAAGATAAATTCTTATATACTTGTTAAGTTTAATAATAATAACTTTTGTTATTTAATATTGATTTTTGTAAATCCCATGTTAATTTATTCTCTTAAAATTTCTTTAACAAGAAAATTTAATTTTTTCCTAGACTGTTACAAATTGAACCATGTTATTTTTTTGTAGTATTTATGCTATATTTTTTTAATTAATTATACACTAAGGAATATGCATCGCTAAATAGACTTTTAAATCTAAAAACTTGTTTATAAATAAAATATCCTATTCTGACATATTTGCATTATAAATTATATCTAAGAAATAAAATTATCATTTATTTGGCTTACATTAAAAATGCTTAACTAAGCCTTTCTCTTTTAAGTACTTGAGGAACGATTAAACAAAATTTATCAAGGGAATATTGTTGTCTTGGAATAAATTCAATACTTTAAATTAAAGAACATAAGAACTATAATTGTTGTTGGATAATAAAATCATACTAAGTTTACAGATTATGCTACCTATCATGTACTATTGATAAAATGACATAGAGAGTAGATGAAAACATTGGAGAAGCAATAGACATATTTGAAAAGACTTCCCAAATCATTTAGAACGAAATAAAACGTTCTTCTGTATTAGTATGTTGTCAGAATGGATTGAATTGGAGCACAGCTATTTTAATAGCCTATTTAATTAGTGCTAAGAAATGGTAATATGAAAAGGCCTTTTATCATTTAAAATCTATGAAATATGTAGTAAATCCATCATTAGCACTCAAAAAGTAACTAATTTTATTCAACACTAAAGTCCATAGTATGAAAAATTTAAATCAAGAAAACAAAATAATTCAATCTTATTTAATTGTTCCTTCTAAATTCTAATAAAGAATAATTGAACAAAATTAAAAACTATAATATTTTGAGGATTCTAGACATTCACAAGAGGAAAGAAATTCAACAAGTTCTAATTAATGTGATAAGACTCCTATGTTTTATTCTCCAAAAAACTAAAACAACAATAATAATAATAGTAGTAATAGTATTGGTAAAAAGAAACTTTCTGTTGTATAATCAGATACTAAGATCATAAAAAAATAGAGTTTAACAAAATTAGTAAGATAATTAAGAAATTATACATTCTAAATTGATGATGGAAATTTTATCAATAATAATAATAATAATAATAATAATAATAATATTAATATTATTAAATAGAATGCCAATAATTATTTTACAAATTAACCTCTAATTACAAATTCGCCAAAATTCAAAGATGAAGAATAGCCTATGATAAAGCCTACAAGAAGAAAATTTGCACATAGAACAAAAAGTACTATAAATGGTTGATTTATTAAGGGTTTAAAAATGCCTTTTATTTTAATTTCCTTATGGTTTTAATAATCAGTATATTCGTTATATTAAAATTAAAATTAAAAAATGTTAGATAATTATTAGTGTCCAAGCAAATAACATTGTTTATAGAAAAATCATCAGAAGAAATATCAGGATGATTCAGTAAACGATTCTAATTCTTTTAAATTAACTTCTAATATTAGAAATTAAATATTAGGAGTATCTAAAATATCAGACATTAAAGTCTACAATGATTATTCTATTGATTCATAGATATTTGATAAGAGCAGTATCTTGGAATAATCATTAGAATAAGAACTTAGAATATGGAAGGAACAATATAAAATTGATCCTCAAGTTGTCTAAAAAATAGAATAATGTATTATGATGATAGTTACATTCTAGAAATAAGAAATATTGATAATCAAATAACTTAATTAGCAACATAATTTGAAATATGCATCAATTTACAATAAAAAACTTAATCATATTTTTAAGAATTTCAACAAATTGTCAAAGGAACAACTTTTACAAAGTTCTCTAGATCTAATAGTAAAAAAACTGCTTTAAGAACAATATTCTATTGTCCTTTTTTGAGTGCAATTTGTTGGAAATCTAAAACATCTAAATTTCCTTCTTCTAAATAAATTATTCCAATAGATTAAATAATTCAGATACATACTAATTATTCAAAGTAAGTTAATATATTTTAAACAATAGATATAAATTATTTAAAAAAAACTTTACAATTCCTAAATAATTTAATGAAGAGTTTTTTCTAGCAATTGAAGGAAGAAACGGATATCGTTTAGAATTGATTGCAGAATCAAAATAAGAATAAGATCTATATATAAGAATACTAAATTAATTAATAGACAATAATCAAAAATCATTCAATAGTTCATTTTTTATTGAATAATATTCACAAAACATTGACTAAATAAAAAAGGTAATAATTTTTATCTAAAGATTAATAGAATTTAGATAACTCTAAATTATGTTTTATAGAGGCTATGGAAAAATTATAATATAATTTCATTTAAAATACAACATCATTACTATAACATGAAAAAGAAAAGAATATACTTTTAAAAAAGAGATCTTGCCATATGATGAATTAGAATAAATAATTAATTGACGAATTAGGATAATAAAATCATAAATAGAAGCAAATGATTTAAGAATTATAATTATAAAAGGAATATTATGAATAAAGGATTGTATAATTGTAGGAGTTTTATAATGTAAGAACTATGCAATTTAAAACAAGTTAGAGCCCTTAAATTTCATAAATTAATCAAATCCTAAAAGATATTATAGGGCTAAATGGAGAAAATAGTGTTTACAATGAATCTTTGATTGATATACAGGTCTAATAAATAGATCAATATTAAGATTGTTTGAAAAATCTAAGAAAAGTTTAAGAAATCTTAGTAAACTAATAAAATTTAGAAATAAATTTAAGAACTAAAATGGAAAAGTATTAGAGTGAAAATTAGAATTTATAACAATAAATAAAAAAACTTTAAAATGATACAGTTGAATGCGAAGGAATAAATTAAATGTTATAAAAAAAATTAATTGATTTTAATTTAAATATGGAATCAAAAGAGGAATAATTTAATACTGTTATAAAAGAGATTTAAAGTCTAAAATAACATTTACCTTGTAGAATGAGCACATCATAATCTTAATCAGAATATTCAATCAAATTTAGTGAATAAGATCAAATTCTTTTTAATTTCTATCTGTAAATTATGACATTTGTTTTTTTTGTTTTGGTTCCTGAAGAACTTAATAATGAATTTGATTAAATTATGCAAGGATTTTTTTTGAAGATAAGTACAAAATATGGAGATTTGCTATAGATATCTTTATTGATAAAATAAATAAATAAAGTGTATCAAAATTTAGAATTACAATAAAGAAATAAAATAGATTAAATGTTTAAAGAATAAATTTATCATTATTAGAATTACATTCAAAAATCTAATAAAAAAAGTATGCCTTCACCTACAAATACTTAAAATTAAATTAAATTACTATCAATTGACAAAACATTTTCATCTCCAAATAATAAGATTTTTGTTAAGAATAATGCAAAATTTTATAAGAGAGAAGCATTTTAATCTTTAGATCCTTAATAAATAAAATATTTGTCATAATTAGTTAAATGAATATTTTAATATAAATATACACAGATATTCATATGATATAAATCATCAAAAGAACTAATTTTAAATCTATCCCAAAAAATTATTTTTATTTAAAAACTTTTAATTATCCTCTTAGTTTAAATTAGTTTATCTATTGAAATCTTTTTTAATTAGTTATTATTCTTATAATTATAAATAAATAAATACATATAAAATTTAGTTATTTTTTTTTATCAGGTTAAACTTAAATTTGTTTATTTAGATCAATTATAGGTTATTATTCAGTTTTAACTTTTTTTTTAATATTTTATTCTTTAGATTATACATTAGTCAATTCTACTTTAGAAAATTAATCTTCCAAAAATGAATCCAGATTTTGATTATCTTAAACTTATTTTTTTGTTTTGATTTCAAAATCAGCATAGAGAGAATTTCGAACTGAATTTCTATCATATTTTTTATCTTAATAGACTTCTTCTTTTAATTTTTTAACTTTTTATTATTATTTTTTAAGATTTTTTTCTTTTTCTGTATTTAATACTTATTGATGATTGTTTTATTCTTGATTTAATTATTTTTAAGGTGATTAACTTCTGCTTGATTAAGAATCACTAGAATCAGATTATAATTATTGTTATTAATTAATATTTTAGATTATTTCATCATATAAACTTCTGACAAATGGTTCTAATTTAATGTCAGACTATTTTTTAAATATTGGAGCTTATTGAGTTCCTTAATTTTTTAATTACAATTTTTTCATGAATTTTTCTAAAATAGTTTTAATATTAGGATTTTAGATATCTGCAGTTTCAATAACATGACCTTAATCTAGTTATTTAAAGAGTTAAAAAAAATCATCTAAATCATCTTAATAGATTTTAAGGAATAATTTAAAAGTTTAAATAACTTTTTGTCGATCGATAACATTTTTATTTTTTTTATCATTTTAAGCAAAGAAGTTTGATCTTTTTTAAGGTTTAAGTAAAAGTTATTATTTTTTCTGTAATTTTTTATTTTTTTTGATCTCTTTAAGTTTGTTTCTCTTTTTATCTAGCTTTTGGTTTTTTTTATGTTATCTATTTTGTTATTCTTCCATAAATTAAATTAATTAAATGAGGCCTTTTCATGTTAGAGGAACAGATAGAGCAATAATGACAATAAAAATAAATTATGATGGAGATTTATTCTTTACAGCATCATAGGATGGTGGTATAAATTGTTGGTTAACAGAGAATGGTGAAAGGTATATAATTAGATAAATAATAAAATTTAGATTAGGTAATTATAAAGCAAGTGGTGCTGTAAAGACATTAGATTTAACAGATAATAGTGAATTATTAGTTAGTGGTTCATTAGAAGTAAAGATTAATAATAAAATAAAAAGGGTTCTGTTGATTTCTTTTAAATAAATGGAGGAAAGAGTCTTGGTAAATTAGTAGCTGATATGAGAAAAGCAAAATGGGTAGAATTTTCTTATGGTGATGAATATTTAATAATTGTAATAAGTCTATATACATAATATATAGGTATATTAACCAATGACTTCATCTATTAATTATGAGACTAGAATATTAAAGGTTTAAGAAATATTAGATAAAATAAAATTAAGACAATCATAAGATGTATTAGAAATAACGGATACTCTTGTGACTCCAGATAAATTTAAGACTACTTAAGCAAGTTGGGGATATTTGAATTAATCAATTATAATGGCATCAACAGAAGGAGAATTGTTATTATTATCTTATCCATAAAGTATATTAATTAATCATAATTATTATTAGAACAAGAAATTAGAAGAGTATAAGTACATGATGGAGAAATTAAACAATTTACTTTTGCTAAAGATTTTTCAATTTTAGCTACTGCTGCTAATGATGGATGTAAGATCTTTGATCCAACTACATTATAATTATTAAGATAATTTAAATATGAAGTACCTATGAATGCTGTTGCAATTTCACCATTATTCAATTCTGATCAAAAACAAAAACCTCATTTAATAGTTGCTGGTGGTATTCCTGCTAGAGAAACTGCCAGAACTAAATTTTAAGGATTTGATATACATATTTGTAATGTTATTTATGAAGAAGAGGTTGGAAAATTGTTAAGTATATACTTTTATATCTCTTTAATAAGATCCCAATTAAATTGGACCAATCAATGCATTAGCATTCTTCCCTGATGGAAAAGGATTTATTACTGGAGAGGAAGGTGGATATTCAAGAGTTTATAAATTTGATTAAACTTATTGGGAAAATGATTTATTCAAATGAATTTTTACATTATTATATTTATGTACATTATATAAAATAAAGTATTTATATAAAAAAAGTTATTTCATTTATTATTATTAGAAATTCATAAAGAACATTATCAAGAATTAATTAAATTAATATAATCTTAAACTTTCATCATAACTTCTTTTCCATGATCTTTTTATTCTTTTTCTAATTTTTTTAAAATATTATTAAAAAAAATGAAAGAAGAAAAGAACTCAGATATATTGAACTGTATTTACTAGATAAAAATTAAAATAGATAAAAATAATAGTTTTTATTAATAGTTTAATAAAAATAAAGAATAAATATGATTCAATCCTCTTTTCTCTTAATTTTATAATCTTTCTTCTTAAAGCTTAAGCAAGGAAATCCTACTTATGATTAAATAAATTTACATTTTAACTAGCATTTTAAGGTTGTTCTTAATTTCCTACAATTTAAATTAGTTTTCCTTTCATTTTTTATTATGCCTCTATGTATAATAAAATGATTAATACTGTTTGATTTACTGGAATAAGAGTGAAAGGTTTGTTTTCTAGATTCACATACACATCACATATTAAAAATAATAATAAATAAATGTATAATATTGATATATAATATCATCATCTTTTCTTTTGTAAACTTTTCATATATCTAATAAATGCTTATTTTCTAATAGTTCCATTTCCATCAGGATCACAAGCATGAATTATATTTTATAAATCTTCTTCTTTAATTTTTTCATTGCATTCTGATGCTAATTCTCTTAAATCATCAACAGTTATATAACNTACATTATAATTATTAAGATAATTTAAATATGAAGTACCTATGAATGCTGTTGCAATTTCACCATTATTCAATTCTGATCAAAAACAAAAACCTCATTTAATAGTTGCTGGTGGTATTCCTGCTAGAGAAACTGCCAGAACTAAATTTTAAGGATTTGATATACATATTTGTAATGTTATTTATGAAGAAGAGGTTGGAAAATTGTTAAGTATATACTTTTATATCTCTTTAATAAGATCCCAATTAAATTGGACCAATCAATGCATTAGCATTCTTCCCTGATGGAAAAGGATTTATTACTGGAGAGGAAGGTGGATATTCAAGAGTTTATAAATTTGATTAAACTTATTGGGAAAATGATTTATTCAAATGAATTTTTACATTATTATATTTATGTACATTATATAAAATAAAGTATTTATATAAAAAAAGTTATTTCATTTATTATTATTAGAAATTCATAAAGAACATTATCAAGAATTAATTAAATTAATATAATCTTAAACTTTCATCATAACTTCTTTTCCATGATCTTTTTATTCTTTTTCTAATTTTTTTAAAATATTATTAAAAAAAATGAAAGAAGAAAAGAACTCAGATATATTGAACTGTATTTACTAGATAAAAATTAAAATAGATAAAAATAATAGTTTTTATTAATAGTTTAATAAAAATAAAGAATAAATATGATTCAATCCTCTTTTCTCTTAATTTTATAATCTTTCTTCTTAAAGCTTAAGCAAGGAAATCCTACTTATGATTAAATAAATTTACATTTTAACTAGCATTTTAAGGTTGTTCTTAATTTCCTACAATTTAAATTAGTTTTCCTTTCATTTTTTATTATGCCTCTATGTATAATAAAATGATTAATACTGTTTGATTTACTGGAATAAGAGTGAAAGGTTTGTTTTCTAGATTCACATACACATCACATATTAAAAATAATAATAAATAAATGTATAATATTGATATATAATATCATCATCTTTTCTTTTGTAAACTTTTCATATATCTAATAAATGCTTATTTTCTAATAGTTCCATTTCCATCAGGATCACAAGCATGAATTATATTTTATAAATCTTCTTCTTTAATTTTTTCATTGCATTCTGATGCTAATTCTCTTAAATCATCAACAGTTATATAACCTATATAAATTAGAATAGATTGAATTACCTTTATAATCTAAATCAATTTAATAAAAGACATTTTCAAAATCATCATCTGTATCTTTTTCTCCTGGATGCATTGCCATCATTCTTACAAACTCTCTAAATTCAATAATACCACTTTAATCTTAATCAAAGTCAGCAATCATTTAATAAATAATTTACTTTTTTGGTTAATATTTTCCAGCACTTGCAAATGCCTTTCTTAAATCCATAGGTTATATAACTCCATTGTTATTTGAATCTAAAAAATCAAATATCTCTTTATATAAGATGATATCTCTTTTAGTTGTTGTTCCTGTAATATAATCATTTGGATCAAATTTAGGTTCAGGTGGTATAAATGTAGAATAAGATTGATTAGGACTTAATTATTATGGTGGTGGAGCCAAAAGAGATGGATTTACTTTACTCTAAGGCAATGTAGGAACTGATGTTGTATTTTTCTTTCTATTCATATTTATTTATATTATTATATTATTTATATTTAAAAATGTATTATTAATAATAAATTTAAATTATATTTATAAGTACCAACAATTAATTAATTGAATATCACAAATTTATATATATATATATATTTATGATATAAAATAATAATCCATTATTCATTATTCTTCTTATTAATCTTCTTTTTAAGCAAGCATTAATTTTGATTCATCTCCTAAATCGAAATCCTTTAAACTAAAATCACATTTATTTTATCTTCCCAGATCTGATGTAACACTCTTTGTTGATGTAATGAATTTCATGAATTTATTCTGTCTATCTTTTCTTAATATTGGTTCTTTAGATTCCTCTATTTATTTTATTAGTTCATATTTTAAAAAACGAGACTCTTTATAAATCATTACATTTTACACTCCTCTTATCACAATTCATAATGGTTATGCTTTTTATATTTAATCTACTTTTTGATTCTTCAATAAAACTACCTTATAAATCATTTATTACTCAATAATTGATCTAATCAATACTTCAGAACTAAATGATCTACTTTATTTTATTGGACAATCACATATCAAAATGTCCTTAAATTGTTCATCATTCAATTATTATAAACTATTATATCTTCAACTTTATTTTACCATTCTCGGAATCCGTTATAATATTGAAATAAATCTTTTTCTGACTTAATATAATTGTTTATTGTACTTCAAAAACTCTCACTCGATAATATGTGATACATTAATAATTGCTCATTTATAAATTCTATATGTACACTTGTTCATAACTAACTAATAAGAAATTTGTATTATTTATACTTCGACTTAAATTATCATAAATCTATTGGATGATATTTTATTACAACGGAATTTTGTCAGCATTTGTATACAAACAAACTTTATGATAAAACAAATTCATACTCACACTTTCTCCAGATTCTTTCTATATATCACCCAATTTAACCGTTATTTTTACATTCATATATTCTCTAAATATAACCAATTCATTATTCAAAACATGATTCTCCTTTTCTCTAGAAAGACAACACATTCCTTCTTAATTTCCCATAAAATTATATTTTATAAATATTATAAAGAAAATAATACAAATTAAAACAAAATTTTCATCAATTAAACATTAATCATATTTAAAAATGAATTCTTTTTCCCCATTCATAACTATCTATCAGATTCTAAAGTTGTTAATCTGAAATTTCATTTCCTATCTGAGTTGAAAGAGTTCTCTCTTCCAATACCATTCTTGTCATTAGATTTGTATCATCGCATATTTCAAATTATTAATTCATATTCTAATCTTCAAACCAAGGATGTAATGAGATATCTTAATTTAATTATAAATATACCTGCAGCATATAATCGATGATTAGGATTATGTTTAAGCAATCTTTTTATTAAATCTCTCTCTATGAAACTTAGATTCTAAAACTCCTCTGTGTATTGATATGGATAATCCTCCGAAGTTATCAAATCTATTGTATCACTTACACTATCAGCAAAGAAGGGAAGTCGATAACATAATAATTAGTATAATATTACACCAATAGACCAAATGTCAACTTTAATATTATACTATAACTACCCTTCTCATCATATCCACCACCTAAAAATACTTCAGGGGCTTAATATACAATGGTTCCAGTTGCGGTCCACATATCTTTAAATGTATCCTTAAATTTGAATTTTTTACTAACTCCAAAATCAATTAATTTAATTTATATATCTGGATGCATTTAAATTAATATGTTTTCTGGTTTTAAATCTCTATGGCATATTCCCTTAGAATGAATCTAAGCAATAGTTTGAGCTAGTTATTTAATGGTTTCTTATTTATGTTTAAGTGATAGTAAAGGATACACCTAATCAAGACTGGGAATATCACAAAATTCTATAACTTGATATTAGTGTTTAGTTTTTTAATCTATAAAAAGATCATAGGCTTTACAGATTCTAGGGACATCCTATAATTATCTTTATAAATTAAAAGTTTGAATAATAGTATTGACAATTTCTGGATCATCAGTTCTAAAACATTTAACTGCATATATCTAGATAGATTTTGTCATAATAGATTTAGCATTTTTTTATTTAGGTAATTTCAAACATTTACGAACGACAGAATGAGCACCCTCACCTATATATGATTGATTAATATACCAATTTTTTCCATTAAAAGGTAAGCATCTTGAAATGTTTCTTAAGGTTAAAGGGAATGATTTTGTGTAAGGTTATTTTCAATATCAAGAGATTTCTTTTATCGTAATCCTTAATTTTAGAAGAGTTGTTTTTTTAATTGGTTTCTAATTTATTCTTTTTTGATCATACAAATAAAAATAAAAATTAAATAAAGAAATTATGAATAGAATCTCTAATGGATTGATTGGACTTGCCCTTAAAAATTAGGCTTGTTTCAGCACAGCAAAGAAAGCAAAGATGGAGTTGACAATTAGAACTCCATATAGAACAATATTAGATAAATTTGAAGGATTTTCAAGAATAGTGGCTAAAACAAATGAAGTATTAAATACTATGTTTATAAATTAATAAGGCAGCTTTAATTATTCAAAATAGAACTCCAGCAGCTGTATACATTTTACCTCCAGGTCCTTTGAAAATTAAATTCACTTAAGATGTAAAAGGAGTGACTGGTGACTTTTTACATTTAGGTGGCTATGTGTTTGTTAATCCGTATCAAATTTATATTTAATTTAGAGACAATACTTGCGAAATCAATTTAATGGATGTAGTTGATAGAAAAGAAGCAAAAGTAGATTAATTTGATAAGGCTGATGTTAAAGATGCTGATACTGTTGCTGGAAGATATGCAGGAAAAATTAGAAGAGCCGCATAACGTACATTTATTAAAAAAGCAACAGCATGATGATTATTACATAAAAAATAAATAAATAGATATACAAAATTTTTTAAGCAAAAGAAATATCAAATATTGTGACTCTTATTAATAAAAATATGTTTAATTAATAATTAATATCATGATCCAATATTTATTCAATTTATATTCAATTGGAAAAGTGTCTAGAAAAATAAAAGAAAAAATTATTTCAACAATTTAAAATCACTTAATTTAATAAATAACACATCTGATTCTTAATAATCTACTAAATATATGAATTTATTCCAGATAACAAAGAAGCTTTAGATCATTTAGTAGATGTTAAAAATAGAATTGATGATGCTTAAATATAGTTATATGACATAATATTATATGATATAAGATATATTTATATAAATAATAATTATAATAATAAATTTAATAAGAATGAAAATAACAATAATGATATTGTTAATGTTCATATTTAGTCAGACATATTGCCAATAAAATGATGAAATTTTAGGCTATATGTATGTATTTGCTTAAGAATGGCCAGGATCTATATGCAAATTTTAGAAATGTACAAAAACATATATGGGAAATTACGATAATGCAAGATGGAATACTCATGGATTATGGCCTAATACAATGCTTTAAACAACTTGTGGAATGATATTCAATTGCAAAGATGAAGAATATGATGAAAATAAATTAACTGTGGCTACAAAAACATTAATAGATGTTACTTGGAATGGTATGTATTCAGATACATTTACATTCAGAAAGTAAGATATAATATTTAATTAGACATGAGTGGGAGAAACATGGTACATGTCATCCAGATAATTTATCGTAAAACGGATATATGTCAAGAGTTGGAAATCTTAATAATTAATATAATTATTATAAAATATTAGCATCAGCAGGAATATATCCAGATGATGATAGATAATTAACAGATTCTGAAGTTAGAGCTGCATTTACAAAAGTATTAGGAATATCAACAGCAATGACTTATACTTGCTAAAAAGATTGTAAATTATATAAGTTTTATTATATTAGCTGCGACTGGTAAATTCTATATTGCTGAATTAAGAACTTGTTTTACATAAGCTATGAAACCTAGAACCTGTGATTGTACTAAACCTGTTAGTGCTTTTGTAACATGTGGTAAGACATTTTATTATCCAACTTTTCTATTATCAAAGGATTAATAAATAGAACTTGAAGAAATCCCTGATTTCAGTCAAACATTTTTAGAATGAGATTTGTAAATTTAATTATATATTTTATAAAAATAAGACATTATTAAAAAAAACGAATTTAGATGATCTTTTGGAACAGATTAATGTCATTATTGCCAACCTTTATAATGTTTGGAGTACTCCTATTTACATACAGCATTTATTTTATTGTAATTTGTTTATTTCATAAAGACTAACTTAAAACCTTATTTTAATGGATTCACATATGAAATCATAATAATTCATTTTTTAATACTAATATTTTTGATTTCCTTATTTAGATCTATGTTTTAATTACCAGGAATTATTCCAAAAGTTTCATTATTTATATTTTTAGGAATTAATTGATGAAACTTTGGAGAATTGGTAAAGAGTAGAAAGAGAAGAAAAAGAAAAATTAATAGAATAATTACAAAGAAAAAGTTAAAGATCTGATATAAGATTTAAAGCAGAAACTGAGTAAGATAAAAGTGTAGTTAATCTTGATTTTGAAGAAATTGTTGTTGATGAAGAAAATAAAAGAAAAACAGATATCAATTAAAATACTGTTAGTAAAAGATTTTGTAAAAAATGTTGTATTCCTAAACCTCCAAGAGCACATCATTGTTCAGCATGCAATACTTGTTGGCTTAAAATGGATCATCATTGTTTATGGATTAACAATTGTGTTGCTAAAGATAATTATAAAATGTTTTTCTGTATGGTTTTTTATGCAAGTAAGATTAAATACATTTAAAATTAGAGGCTGTCTTTTAATTTGGGTCACTATTTCCTAATATAAAATTTTTTAAACTCTAATCACTAATTATGTTTCAGATTTTCAACTCTATATTATAGTTCTTCATTTCTATTTTGTATTCCTACTTGCTGTTTTGATATCAGGGTTCTTTATATTTCATTTATACCTTATATCATAAAATAAAACAACTCTAGAATAATTAGAAAATAAATCTGATGTAATTTATATTTATCATCATTTTTTAGAAGAAAAAATATAATCAAGGAATATGGTTTAATTTTTCAAGCGTTTTAGGATCAAATGTCTTCTTTTGGTTGATACCAAGTTGATGATTTAAATAAATATTATACATATATCAACCAAATTAAATGAATTAAATATTTCTATTACATTATGTTATTTATTAGAAATTAAATATCATTTATACTTAATCTATCTTTGAAAAAAATAACCCAAACAATCATAAAGTTATAGCACAATTATTATTATTCTAGAAATTAAAATATTATTATTATTGATCAATTTCTAACATTAATCAAAATAATAATTAAACTCAATTTTAAGTAATTTTAACATAATATCCAAAGAAGTGGATTTATTTAATCTATTTTAAAATGAAAAATTTAAACATAATTAATAAATATAAGAGTTATTGATCTAAAAATTATAAGAATTCTTAAATCATTGTTAAAATCTTAGAAATTATTAAAAAAACCAATAGCATAAATAATTTATCTTATATAATAAACAATTCAATATAGATCTCACATCAAAAATGCAGAAAATTAAAATCTTTCTATTTTAACCTGATAAGATTTAACTAAAAATAAATTAATTTTACCGCTCTATATATTTAATTTATAATCTGATTGTAGTTTATCTAAATATAAATAAATATTTTCTCATATTAAATAGGATGAGTAAATTAAAATGTAAAGATCGATTTGATGTGGTATAAAAATAATCAATAAAAATAAGAATTTAAACATACATAAATATAAAAAAATAAATAATTAATCATTTATTCATTATTATACACAATCTTAAGCATTGTAATATTTTAACATATCAATTTAAAACAGTAAAAGTTATTTATATGAAATTTGCATGAATTCTTCCCACCATTTTTAAGAACAAAACTCTTCTTTTAATTTAATTAGTTTTTATTTATCAACTGAATGCATTCTAAAGAATTAAATTCCCAAATAAATCGAACCTTTAACACAATCAACTTAAATCTTAAATGATTAAATATAAATACCATATCAATTGAAAAATCAACAAAAAATGTATCCTAAAAGATATCAAATATCATTTATCTTAATCCTTATTCAAATTGAAAGATCTAAGACATAGTTTTAAAATGAATTACTTTTAAATAATTCAACAACAATTGATAACTATCTAGAGTTTCGTTTTTTAAGTCAAAATTAATTATTCTTAAAATATGTTACTCAGCTTCTAATACTTCTTTTTTCCAATTTGAATATTATTCATTATTAAATAAAGGTACTAATTTATCAAAGTATTCAATATTTTAATTTTCATATTATTCTATAACTAAATATTTAATTGGATCATCATCATCATCAACCTAATTGTTAATTAATAATTTTTATTTTCTTTCTTAATTAGCTAATGTGTACATTTTATTAACTACGCAAATAACTTACTTATTAGTATGAATTTCTTACTAACTAAAATATCTCTAATTCTTTTTTAATCTTCAACTATTTTACTCACTAAATAAAAACATGCTGTAATAACCATTTCTTTTTTAAACTATCTCTTGTTACTTAGTGTAAATCTATCGATCTATCTTTGTCATACCTTTTATAGATATTGATCACATGACTAATAGTAGGAGTCGAGAAATTTAGGATTACTCCAATCTCTTATATTAGTCTCAAAAATTCATATCCTTTCATTATTTAATTATTTTATAAAATATCAAATAAAAGTAGCTAATTCATTTTTTCAATTATTTAGTTCTTCATTATCATATTCTAATATATATGACATTTAGTTTAACTTCTTATTGAATTATTTAGCTGTTTTGAATACTATATTACAGGCAAAGAATATTCATCAACAATCCATTAGTTTAATTAGTTATCTGAATAATAATCATCAAAACTTTATCGAATAGCATTGATTCAATATTCTAAATATAAATCTACTATATTCTATCCAATCAATAGTTTTTAAAGAATCAAAATTAAATTTCTTAAATATATTTTTTATCTTCTTTTTCTTCACTTTTCAAATGAATTAATCAAAAATTATTTATTCATTAAACAACTTTTAGATACTTTTATTTTGAGAATCTATCAAATAAATATTTAATTTTCATTAAATTAGATATTTATTATTTTCTCAATCTATTAAATTAAATTTATAGAGTATTGAATTTCAAACGATATCACAACCATAAAATAATTAATTTATTTCTTTTGGCATTTTTTATTTTCAAATCTTCATAAACTTTAAGTTATTAAACAACTTTGTTAATTAGTATATAATCAAGATGATATCGTTATAATTCATAAAAATTTTCAAAATTACCTTCAAATGTTAAGTTTATAAATTTTATTAATTGAAAATAGAGAAAGATTATGATTAAATTTGAAAATATGTATTAAAATTGTATAGGATCCACAAATCTTTTGAGATTATATATTTCTTCAATTATATATTCTCAAGTAAGTAATTAAGAATATATTTAATAAATAATTTGATTTAAAACATGTTATTCTTCTAAAGCATATTTAATAATAATAAAAATAATAATTTATTTAAAATTTGCAATAATAGATATAATAAATATCATATAAAAGAATGGGATTGATGACTACTAAGAATATTTGATGTTGAATATAATAATATATAACAGTCTGATATTTAAAAATATAAAAATTATTTGAATTAATATAAATAGTTGAATAAAAATAAGAAGAGATGGATTCAAAAAAATTAAGTAAAATAATAGAGTTAATTTTCTTATCGATTGCAGTAAAATATTAATGAATAATATAAGTGGTTATCAGTGCTAGCTTGTTTGATTAGAACAGATTTTAATTTTCCATTTGCTTTCTTTTGTTATTATTTATGGATATCAAGAGATGATAAAGCTAATTCTTTAATGGTAATGATAAATTGATATATTTATAGTTAATGGTATTGAATGGAATCTTAATTTTGGTTGATTTAATTTGGTTATTGTCAGTTGGATCAATTTGGACTGCTACAGAAAAAAATAATCCAGTTTGGGGAAAATTACATGGTCTTCATGTATTTGTAATATTTATTAGTATTGTAAATGCTTTATTAAAAGTATAATAATAGATTATTTAATGATTAGGTTGGAGCAATTGTAGCAATAAATTCTTATAGAGGAAATTAATAATAAGTTGGTAATTAATAAAATAATAATATAAGCTGGTCCAGTTGGAAGTTAGAATCCATAATAAAGCGGATTTAATGATATGTCTTAAAATAGATAATAACCATATGCATAATTTTGATGAAATGAAATATATTCAAAATTATATATAAACTTTAAATAATTATTATATAAATAAAATTTAACAGTAAAATTATATGTCAATGTCATAACAAAGATATCAAACTCTAATGGGTTCTGATGATATATCACAATTATGTAGTGGATTCATTAGATTTATAGAAGAAGTAATTCTAATTAAAATTATTTAAATAGATTTTATTACCTATTGCTAAATAAGACACTAAATAATTTTAAAATTGGACAAAATTTAAAGAAATCATTGATCCATTTAATAAAAAAATAGAATTACAAAGAGTTGAGTAATTTTTCTAATAATTTAATAATTCTAAGATTAATTAAGAAAATAAACCACCAACTCCAATCTTAAAAGATTAAACTAAAAACTCTGTAAACATCTAAGATAGAAGTTATTCAATACCATAAACAACAAACTTTTAAATTATTAAAGATGATTATGAAACTAAATTAAAAGAAATTACAGATAAAATAAATAAAACATTTCATTAAAATAATACTCATTTAGATATACTTTTAAAAATGAATAGTACAACTCAAGAAGCCAAAAATAAATAAGAACTTACTAATAATAATCAAAGAAATACATCAATTACTAGAAGAGTAGAATTTAAGAGAAGAAATACAGATTATTACTCTATTAAACCTATTAATATATAATGAATATATATTTTCATATAACTAAAAATATTTAAACATATTCTAATCAAAACTCATCTTCTGGATTTTCTTCATCATCAAATCCTTCCTCTTCCTATTATTTTTATTAAGATTATTATTATTATTATATTGTTTATTTATTAGGAAATGAAAATAACTTTTATTATGTTTATTATTATTATTTTGATGTATTTAGTTCATCAACATCAACCTTTTTTTTATTAGCATAAAATATCTAATCATGTATTAAAGTCACAATCTTTTCATTATCTAATAAAGTTTAAATTAATTTATCTCTATCTTCTTTCTCCAACATATCTGGTTTATCTATATTATTAATTATAATTCTTACTTTTCGAATTCTTATTTATAATTCTTGCTTCTCCTTTGATTTAAATTATTTCTTCCTTTATATCATCTATGCATTTTCTTAAAATTAATTCCAATTCTGATTTACTTTAAATTTCTTTGATATACAATTATTTCAATTCTCTAACTCTCTTTTATTCCTTTTTTAATGTTGATTATAATGATTTCATTGTTTTCTCATATCTTTATAAAGTTTATTAAATTTATTATGAACCTTATTATTATTATTATTATTATTATATTTATGATGGATTTTTTGATAATTATTCATCCTTATTTTATTTATTCTAAGATTAAGCTGAATTCTTAACAGATCTTATTCTAACTTTAGCTTTACTTCCAGGTCTTACAATATCTTAATATGATGGTTAATCAAAAGATTAATCATCCTATTCTATTTCATCTTTTTAAACTTCATTTAATAATTTCTCATATTATTATATTTATGATTTAAGAATCGCATTTTTTTTTTTTTTCATTATTAACTCTTTTAAAAGCATTTCTCGATCATTCTCTTATGTCTAATACTATATTTTTAATTCTTTATATTTTTACATCAGAGAATGATTTTCATTATCTATTTTTTAAGCTATATTTTTAATCCATTCTAATTCACTAATCAATTAATTTTCTTTTTCAATATATTCCTAATCATTTTTACCTTTCTTTATTCTTTCCTCTTCAAACTATTTCTTTATTTCATTTATTTTATTATTAAAAAATCTAATAATATCTCTCTCCTAATCCACTAATATTTTCGATGTTCTTAATTAAATATTATTTATTCCCTCAATTATTTTATTATGATCCTTATATATATTCTCCATTATTTTTCTATCACCTTAATCTAAAGCTGTTTTAGCTCTTAATTCAGATTATAATTCTTCTATTGTTTTTCTATACTCAATTTCTCTATTAACAAATCTTTCTTATCTATTTTTTAGTTCTAATTCTAATTAATTTGTTCTCATCTTTTCTTTTTCCAATATTGATTACAATTCTGAAGACTTTTACATCCAATCTTATGCAGTCATTTCATTTTTTGCTATATTATTTATTTATTAGATTTATTTTTTCTTATTTTTTGGATCATTTGGATCACCTTTCTTACCTTATAAATCAATTTACATTTTCGTCGGTTTTAAGATTGCCTCAGGATTAATAACTAACAATTAAATTCAAATTTACATTTTGTTAAATCAGGTGTTGTGGATGCTAATCTATCTGCAATTTCTTACATCTTCTACATGCTCTTTGTATTTTTTATATATTATTAGTCATCTTATATTTTCTACATTATTTTATTGTTATATATATAATATCAAAATAATATAATTTTGTTAATAATTTATAATCAAAATTATACTTACATTTTTAATATAATTCTTATTATACTTAAATCTCCTCTCTCAAGTTTTGTTATATATATTTCAATTATAAAATAGTTTCTATGATTATTTCATCTAAAATTACGCTGATTAATCTTTTTTAATATATATATTAAATATTCCATAATTTGGTTTTACTTCTTTNATTCTAAGATTAAGCTGAATTCTTAACAGATCTTATTCTAACTTTAGCTTTACTTCCAGGTCTTACAATATCTTAATATGATGGTTAATCAAAAGATTAATCATCCTATTCTATTTCATCTTTTTAAACTTCATTTAATAATTTCTCATATTATTATATTTATGATTTAAGAATCGCATTTTTTTTTTTTTTCATTATTAACTCTTTTAAAAGCATTTCTCGATCATTCTCTTATGTCTAATACTATATTTTTAATTCTTTATATTTTTACATCAGAGAATGATTTTCATTATCTATTTTTTAAGCTATATTTTTAATCCATTCTAATTCACTAATCAATTAATTTTCTTTTTCAATATATTCCTAATCATTTTTACCTTTCTTTATTCTTTCCTCTTCAAACTATTTCTTTATTTCATTTATTTTATTATTAAAAAATCTAATAATATCTCTCTCCTAATCCACTAATATTTTCGATGTTCTTAATTAAATATTATTTATTCCCTCAATTATTTTATTATGATCCTTATATATATTCTCCATTATTTTTCTATCACCTTAATCTAAAGCTGTTTTAGCTCTTAATTCAGATTATAATTCTTCTATTGTTTTTCTATACTCAATTTCTCTATTAACAAATCTTTCTTATCTATTTTTTAGTTCTAATTCTAATTAATTTGTTCTCATCTTTTCTTTTTCCAATATTGATTACAATTCTGAAGACTTTTACATCCAATCTTATGCAGTCATTTCATTTTTTGCTATATTATTTATTTATTAGATTTATTTTTTCTTATTTTTTGGATCATTTGGATCACCTTTCTTACCTTATAAATCAATTTACATTTTCGTCGGTTTTAAGATTGCCTCAGGATTAATAACTAACAATTAAATTCAAATTTACATTTTGTTAAATCAGGTGTTGTGGATGCTAATCTATCTGCAATTTCTTACATCTTCTACATGCTCTTTGTATTTTTTATATATTATTAGTCATCTTATATTTTCTACATTATTTTATTGTTATATATATAATATCAAAATAATATAATTTTGTTAATAATTTATAATCAAAATTATACTTACATTTTTAATATAATTCTTATTATACTTAAATCTCCTCTCTCAAGTTTTGTTATATATATTTCAATTATAAAATAGTTTCTATGATTATTTCATCTAAAATTACGCTGATTAATCTTTTTTAATATATATATTAAATATTCCATAATTTGGTTTTACTTCTTTATATTAGAAGGAAATAACGAAGGTGGTTATACTGATAAACAAAATTTTCAAGAAATTATGAATAATTCTTAATGTAAACTCTTATTCAAAACAAAGGTATTATATTTATTTAATTATTTTCAAATCATTATCAATCATCATTTATAAAATGTTAACAATAAAGTATTAATTTTATATTTGATAAAAATATTTTAACAATAATTAGAATTTTATCTCTTTAGCATTTTAAATAAAAAAAAAAAACCTTTTCACTCATTTTTTGAAGTTACAAAAATTATACAAAACAAATAAATACAAAATCTCGACTTAAGTTAGATAATAAGACGAAATTAATAGTAAAAATTAATCTGATACACATTTTGTAATTAAAAGTTATACTATCTGAAGAGTAAGGCTATATAATTAGTAGTTCGTTAATAATTTTGTTTTTTAAAAATCTATTTTATAATTTTTTTATAACATCATTTTGTTATCAATTAATTTAATACATTGTAGATCAAACATCAAAAAATGTTTTGATGAAAAAATAATGAAACGAGGATTGGATTGTTAATCTTTTTTAAAAAAATTATATAGTTTTATTTAATTAAATTCATAATTTTTTGTAATTGTAATAATTATCCTGTAGAGTAATCTACTTATTGAATGAATATATTGATTTATAATTGACAGAAATACAAATATTATAGATTGAGTTAAATTTTTTGTTCATGTATCCAACAACATACGTGAATTATTTAAATTATCCTTTTATTTCATCATAATTTGTTTTTCTCTCGTCATAGACTTAGTTCTTTTGTATATTTTCATATGATTCTAGTTACTAAGAGTCTTGAATTTTAGATTATTGGATTATTAATCTGATTTTAAAAATTGTTTTGCTTTTTAAATATTGATATTAGGCAGGAAAGAATGATATTAATCTAAATTTTGACTTTTTTTTCTTGAACTTTAACATGATGACTTTTTTTTAGATAATATTCGAGGAATTAAGGCACTAGCTTATTACCTAATTTCTTATGATTAATTTAAATTTGCCATAAACACTTATCTACTCACACGTTGTGTTTTGTAGCTATCTATATTATTCTCAACCTTTTTAATTTTGTTTTCTATATTTTCATTTGTTACAAAATTTTATTTGATGTTAATACCTAAATCTAAACTGCTACGCCTTTTAAAATTTTGATTGAATTAGAATTGAATGAAAGAATTAGAATCTTTTTCATTTAGACAAACTATGAACTTGGGTTCAAGATTCTTGATCTTATAGCAAAACATAGAGATTCTTTTAATTAATCTTCAAAATAATCTCTCAATAATATCTTTTTATATTCATATATAATGTTATTAATTAATGCGTAAATTTATAATTCAGTGTAACTCAAATACTGATGTATTAATAATTTTATTTTATTTTTATTAATAAGGACATCTACAATCATTCAAAACATAAAAATAAATGAAATAACAAAGCATAATACCCAGTCAATCTATTTTGAATTTAATTAAACTTATTAATTATATCATCCGTTATTATGTTGTTTTTAACAAATGAAGAAAAAATTAAAGAGGATATATAGATTTCATATTCTTAAATTATCTGTTAATTTTATCAATAAAGGTATATATTTATAACATTTGTATTGTCAATATATTTTCGTTATTTTGTAAAATTATTTATTTTCAATTGATTTTTATTCTCTAAATTATCATTTAAATTGATTATTATGGTTATGAATTCTTTAAATTTGAAACTGGAATGTTTGAAGGGTCTTTAATAATCGAAATTCTGGAGGATTTTTTCAAAACAAAAGTTTTTATTTTTTATTAAATTATTAAATTGACAGTTAATGAATCACAATACAGGTATTATCTAAATTAAATATGAAAATGATTAATTAATGAATATATCTAGAGAAATGGATTTTATAAAACTAGATATTTAAGTTTAGAAGTAATTGATGCGGATAAATATATTCATATTAAATCATAAAAACTTGATACAATTATAGTTTAAGATTCTAACTTGTAATTTATAAATTAATTGTCATTTCTTATAAGATTATGAAATAAATAGAAAACAAATTTATAGTTTTGTTTTTTTTAAATTAATTGATAATTTTAGTAAAAATGAATTTGAGAAATTGTGTTTAATTACTTCAATAGAATATTATAATATCAGATAGAAAATGCTTTAATTTTTAACCTATGAATTTTGATTTATAGATTTTGAATTCAATTTAGAATTACTATTGGGATTAATAATTGTTGTAATATTTGAAATTAAAATAATTAAACTCATAATTTTGTTAAGTTTAATTTGTTTAAAATACATTTTATGTTTTTTATTATATTTATTTTAGTAAAGTAAAGATTTAGTTATCAGTTTGATATTAAAAAATAAAAAGTTGTATATTAATTGATATCGATTTCAATAAGATAATCAAGAACAATAAATTTAATAAAATATTTCTTATGATATTATAAAATAACTCATTATTATTATAATGATTCTTATTGCTTCGATAATCTTCTTTATTTAACAGATTATCTCCATACATATATTATAAATCCCCATTTCACCATTACTTTAACTCCAAATAATAATACTAAACCAATAAAGCCTCCTTAATTAATTTATCAATATTTTATACTTGATTATGATATTTTTATGAATAAATTAAACCAATTTTCATATACTCTTAATTTTCCTTCCAAATTGATTGGTATTAATTTTGCTTTTGGATACTATTACATAAGAACTTTCTCATATGTGCCTAATTCATCTACTAAACCTAATTCTTTTGCTTCTTATCCTATATACACATTATTTTCCAATTATTCTTTTTTTATTTTTAATTACTCTTTTCTATTTGTCCAACATTCATTTGTTAATTGTTTAGTCTATAATCCATAATAATTATCTAAATATTCCAATTCTTTTTGACTTCTACTTTTTATTGATGAATTTACTAACAAATTATGATTCACTATTTCATTAGATTAATATTACAAAAACTAATAATCTATATTACAATTTTACATTTATGCCATTATCTTATAGAAATTCTCCAAAATTGAATTTATTATTATAAATTTNCAGGTATTATCTAAATTAAATATGAAAATGATTAATTAATGAATATATCTAGAGAAATGGATTTTATAAAACTAGATATTTAAGTTTAGAAGTAATTGATGCGGATAAATATATTCATATTAAATCATAAAAACTTGATACAATTATAGTTTAAGATTCTAACTTGTAATTTATAAATTAATTGTCATTTCTTATAAGATTATGAAATAAATAGAAAACAAATTTATAGTTTTGTTTTTTTTAAATTAATTGATAATTTTAGTAAAAATGAATTTGAGAAATTGTGTTTAATTACTTCAATAGAATATTATAATATCAGATAGAAAATGCTTTAATTTTTAACCTATGAATTTTGATTTATAGATTTTGAATTCAATTTAGAATTACTATTGGGATTAATAATTGTTGTAATATTTGAAATTAAAATAATTAAACTCATAATTTTGTTAAGTTTAATTTGTTTAAAATACATTTTATGTTTTTTATTATATTTATTTTAGTAAAGTAAAGATTTAGTTATCAGTTTGATATTAAAAAATAAAAAGTTGTATATTAATTGATATCGATTTCAATAAGATAATCAAGAACAATAAATTTAATAAAATATTTCTTATGATATTATAAAATAACTCATTATTATTATAATGATTCTTATTGCTTCGATAATCTTCTTTATTTAACAGATTATCTCCATACATATATTATAAATCCCCATTTCACCATTACTTTAACTCCAAATAATAATACTAAACCAATAAAGCCTCCTTAATTAATTTATCAATATTTTATACTTGATTATGATATTTTTATGAATAAATTAAACCAATTTTCATATACTCTTAATTTTCCTTCCAAATTGATTGGTATTAATTTTGCTTTTGGATACTATTACATAAGAACTTTCTCATATGTGCCTAATTCATCTACTAAACCTAATTCTTTTGCTTCTTATCCTATATACACATTATTTTCCAATTATTCTTTTTTTATTTTTAATTACTCTTTTCTATTTGTCCAACATTCATTTGTTAATTGTTTAGTCTATAATCCATAATAATTATCTAAATATTCCAATTCTTTTTGACTTCTACTTTTTATTGATGAATTTACTAACAAATTATGATTCACTATTTCATTAGATTAATATTACAAAAACTAATAATCTATATTACAATTTTACATTTATGCCATTATCTTATAGAAATTCTCCAAAATTGAATTTATTATTATAAATTTATGTTAAACCAATCTTAGATGTATTCTAAGCATATGATTTATTCCCCAACTATAATAATTAATATGCATTCCCTAGAGATTATTCAGTTGCAAAAGTATAAAGAGGTAATCCATTTAGATAATTTGTAATATTTTTCTTTAATATTTCAACTTAATATGGACATCCTCCTTTTGAATTTATAATTAATCCTAAAGCTACTACACTTCCTTTATTATAGTGTTCCAACTAATGAGATATTTAATTCACTCTACAATTTATACATCTATTTCTTACAATTAAGAATTTATTGAACCTTGAATCCTTAATACTAACACTGTTTTTTAGAAAAATATTTTTGATATTAATTAACTCATAATATTCATAAATAAAAATTAAATAATAGTAAAATAATTTTCATATAATCTAAGCAATTCTGTCCTGTTTTTAGTTGTGTTAATTTTCATCAATTAAAAATATAATAAGATTTTCTTTTTATAATGAATTACTTCTTTTGCTTTTACATCTTTCGTTATTTAAATAATTATATGATTCAGTTCTTTAATTATTCATTTGAGATACCGATCTCTATTGTTTATTTATCTATGAAATTTGCAAACAAGGTTGTATATTTTAATTTCGATTCGTTGTAACTAATTTTTCAATACTTCCTTCTCTACTTAAGTATCTAAACTTATCATAATTAACTTTATGCCATTCTCTTGTGTTAAGCTTTTTTTTCTTTTAACCTAAATATGATTATGTAGTTGAAAATTAGTTTGTCACTACATTCTCAAAAGGCTTATTGACTTACTTAATATTAACAGGAATATATTGTTTCCTTTTGAATAGTTAATGCAAATTATAAAATCTAGTATGTAATAAGCTTTTGATCTATTTTGAATAATTATTTTCATTCTTGAAAACTTCTTAATAGATAGCACTATTTGTTGAATATCGCCGATGTAATTAGTGAGAAGATTTACAATCTTTTGTGACTTATCTTGACTATTAACAATTCAATTATTAATTAGCAGTTAACTCATTTGTTTTGATTTTTGACCCTATCAAAAGCATTAAATTTATATTTATTTTACTTAAAATATTTTAAAAATTACTCTAACATCATCTATAAAAACATTAATATAGTTTATAATATCATATATTACACTATTACATACTCTAAGATAGCCATTCTTAATAATACGTAATAATTTATTAAAAGTAAATAAATAACTTATGGATTAATAATATTCTAAATTAATTAAATTGTTAATATTCATAATTAATTCAAAGCCTCAAAATATCTGTAGTCATATTCTATATTCTGTTCTTTAGTTTACACCCAATACTCAACTTTTTCATAAAATCTAACTTACTTCTTAGTTGGTGGTTAACTATTTGATCTAATATTTCTATTTGTTATAAAATCATTAGATAATTAACGGACCTTGATCTGATTTGATTTAATTCTCATTAAATTATTCTAATCTATTGATCTATAAGTTAATCTCTTATAATTTGATTACTATATTTTTTATTTTAATTCATTTGAGTCTTGCAGAAATTCTAAGTTACATACTTTTATTACTTTAGTAGTAAAACTAGAAGGTTCACAGTTATTCTCAAATTTGTATAATTTAGGTTTTGTAGGATTTAATCTTAATTTATTATGAAGAAGTTTTTGTTCTTTGATACAATTTAATTTTTGAATAACAAGATTTTATGAAGGAAAACTTACTTTATTTAATTAAAGTTGCTAATAAGATTATATGAAAGATGCCTTTTGATTTCTGAACTAATATGGATTCATACTAATTATTATAAAAATTTTGCAAAATTTATATAAATCTTTAGTCAATTAAAATATTTCACACTATTTATTTAATTAAATGAGATTTTATTCGATCAATTATTCTAATTTCAACTAACTCATTGAATCTAACAGTTTTCTTTTTTTATTGTTCATCTATTTATTGATCTTTATAAGGACTAACTTATTTTAAATTTGATTTAGATCTTACTCTTTCAATATCCGATTTAGATCTTAAAGGTCTTTATATATCCACTTAATTATGAATCACTGAATTTTTTCGAAGTGTATTTATTAAGAACTTCTTATTACTTTCTGGATCTTCTCTAGAAATTTGTATTTTTTAAGGTATTTTCATATTTATTTTCTTAAAGTTAAACTTTATTTTTTTTGTATTACTAGCTGATCCACTAATAGGTATGTCTAATAGTTTTTAACTTATTAATTTATTTCTATCTTAAACTATATTTAATAATCCTTTTAATTTATTATCCTCAAGAAATTTAGGCTTTATTGGAGAAAGTGATCTTTCTTCTAATAATTTGTTCTTCTATATTTTTTCGACTTTCAAAGGTTCAAAACGAAATTCTCTACTTGTTGTTATAGCTTTGGTAATTGTAGATTCAAATTATTACTATTAATTACTCCTTGAACTTAATTATTACTTCACATTTTATGGTGATAGATAAGGTTCTTAAATATATGTATTAAGTATTGGTATTTTGAATCCCTTTAACATATAAAGAGGTTCATCATTTTAATAATGTTTGATTGCCATTGTATATAGATGTTCAAAACACAATATAATAATTTATAATAGGTAAGAAAAATAATTTATCAATAAAGAATTATTTATTATGGCATTCCAAAAATACCATTTTATTTCATATCAAATCGTTTCATTAAAAATTATTTCTATAAAGTGAAGCTCTTATGAATAAATTTAATCAACTTCCTTCCCTTCTTAATATTATTGATAATGTCTTTTAAAATAATCCTAATTTATAGGTTTATGATACAAATTTAAATCTTATAATTTTTAGATCTAAAATAATAACTACACTATAATTCCCCTTTATTAAATTTGTAGTCATTCCTGAAATTAAATGAGATTAAGGTTCTCTTAAAGTTATTCACTTTATTGAGTGATTTTTTTGTATTTATTTTCATTGTACTTTGTCTGCTTTAAAATAATTAGATTATGATAGATTATATTCTTTATGATATATTATTTATATTCATATTATACATCCTTTTATGAATAATAGATGGATCCATAAAAAGAGATTGGTTCAAAATTATTATCATACTTCCATTATATATGATATTATGTTAACATTTTTTGAGTTGTTTAAATTAAATATTTCGAAATTAAATTTTTAATAATGAAAATCTGTATATAACAAACTATATTATTATATTTGATTATAATAAATAAATTTATATTTAGTTTTCTAATGTTAATTGAGAATATGTTATTCTGTAAATAAATAGCACATGATAAAAAGCCATTGATTGCAGTTTGTTTAAATTAGGATTGTAAAGAGTCTTGTGGTTTGTGTATTAGTTGTTTTTTGAATCACAAAAATCATAATGATGATTTATAGACTATTGAAATAGTAAGAAAGAAACTTGATGATCATATTTAAAAGATGAAATAAAATTTTTAATTTTGTGATGATCTAATCCAATTAATAAATTTAGTAAAAATATAAATAAATCGGACAATATAAAATATTTAGATCGTTTAAAAATTTTCAAATCATGCAGATATCGATAAGGTGAAAGAATTGTTAATAAAATCTTAAGCAAATAAATAAGATACTTCTATTTTTAAAAAGATAGATATAGAACTAAAAAAAGTAAAGGAAATTTTATGTGAATTAAAATTTTCAATTGAATATTCACAGTCTAATCTTAATGATGGATAGTAATAAGAATTTTAAGAATGTTTAAAATA